TATATACTTTTTGAAATAAAAAAAAACTATTAGTTTTTTTTTCAGCTAGTTTGCACTTTTTACATATTCTCGGAAATAATGTAATATACCAAGATTTATTTAGATTTTTCTTGTTAATAGGAGCTTGTCATTGATCAATTTCATGTGCTTTTATGATGGCTTTCATACTTCGCTTTATGTGATAGATTCCATTGTGAGAGCTTGCACAGATGTATAGATGTTTATTTTCGGCGAATTCAATATAATACACACTTTCAGACGATTGACATCAAATAATAAACGTACCATTTCTTTATCACAATAGTGTTATCTGTTGTAATTGAAAAAAAAATGGGTATTGACAATGGATTTCTACTCATTCAATATATATATAGAATCAATTCAGTGATAATATCAGTTATATTCACGAAAAAAGTAAGTAGATACGATGTAATAATACGATAGTTTTCTTTTCAATTCTGAATAGTTGATCACATCAATATGATTCAAGCTTCAACTATTGCTTTTGTTGCATTTGTTGTGACAACAGGTAATAAAACATTATTTAATTAAATGCAATATGACGACTTTTGATTTTTCTAGTTAATGCTTTCACGACATTTGAAATTCAATATCAAAATGCAGCATTAAAACATCATAATTATTTACGTGCTCGTCATTGTGCATTACCTCTTAAACTTGATGATGAACTGAATACAATAGCACAAGATTATGCTGATTATCTTGCAAGAACGAATTCATTTCAACATTCAAATAATGGCTATGGAGAAAATCTTTATATGTCAAGTTCATCAAGCCCAATTACATCTGTTGATGGTTATCAAAAGAAGTGTTATTTCTTTAGTTTTTAATATGTTATTTTCTTGTTTTTCTTGTTTTTTTTAGGAACTGAAGCAACTCAAACATGGTATGATGAAATACAATATTATAATTTTAATAGACCTGGTTTTTCTTCCCAAACTGGCCATTTTACACAAGTCGTTTGGGAAGGATCAGTTGAACTCGGTGTTGGTATTGGTTTCAGTAGTGATCAACGTAGGGTTTATGTTGTCACAAATTACTGGCCCCCAGGCAATTTTCAAGGTCAATATGCCGAAAATGTATCTCCACCTAATTGCTAAGAATGAAATAAATACTCCATGAATATAAATGTATTCACAGTTACAAGAAAAAGAAACCTATGATTTTGCTCTAATATTAGTATTTTTGTCAAGTCAACAATAAACAGAGAATGATTTATTCAATTGCCAATTGATCAATGTATAACAGGACACTTCATTGATATCTCATTTAGAAGCAAAAGTATGGAACTGACATTGCATAGTTTTATGTACCCTCCACGTAGTTACATTAAAACCTCTATTAGTGAACACCCCTCCCGTATGAACAACTGATCTTAGTGAATACTCCGAAGAACTCCCGAGTGAATTTTCCTGGTTTTAACTCCCTTCTGTATGAACACTCGGCCGTTCTGAATGTGAACGCATTTTTATGGTTCCAACTGCGTGAATTCACTTCATTAATGTGAACGTGTTGATACAGGACGCTAGTTGAGTAGACAAATGATTGGCTCTATCAATATATAGAAGAAATGAAAACAAATTGTTTCATTCCATAATTTCTGAAAGAAAAAAGGAAATTCAGAGAGAGAATTTTTTCTCATCGTTCATATCATATCGCACATGAGACATATCATCACGTCATGAACTTGATTTAGAAGAAAAATAAATTCAATTCGAGCTAAAGAAAATGGATTGTCTAATCGTGAAATAAAAGAAAAATTTCAAGCTTCGTTGGATGCCGTATCGAACATATTTTAGAGAAAAATTGAATATGTACATGATTATGAAACCAATTGTAATAAGAAATTGAAAAGGAAGTTAAAAGATAACACTATTCAATCGGTCAATGATACAGTGTACGAATGATTTGTTGCACCACGTCGAAACGTATCTCGGCTACAGGCCTTATATGGCAAGAATTTGCAAGACAAATCACCCTAGAAATGAATGTTTAATCTGACTTCAAAGTAGGTAATGTGTGGTTAGACTAGGGATACAACAAATCCGAAGATTTGGGGTTTGAGACTGGAGGGTTTGGGTTTGGTTAGGTTTGTTTCATAAGATATGAATTTGGTTTGGATTTGTTTATTAATGTTTGGATTTGGTTTGGTTTGTTTCATAAGGTTTGGATTTTGTACTCAAATGTTTGGATTTGTTTCAATTTCCATAAACTATATGCCTTTACACTTGATAATAAGATGTTTTAGTAGACTCTTTTGCTCCTCTAAGATATTCATTACTTACTCGTTATTGTAAATATGAAACGAGATTCTATACTTATAAATATATAGACTATAAGGAAACGGTTTGAGCGACCGCTTCTTTCAATGAATTTACTGCGTGCAAGTCTTAGTATTTCAGTAATCTCATATTTTCTAATATTTCTTCATCAGTTAGAAATCTGTGATCAAAATGCTGGCCACAAGGATGCTAACTGTTGTTTCGTTTAAAACTCGTTATACAACATTATTTTACTTGTTTTTAAGCGTAAATAAAGACTGATATGTTATAAACTATCAAACACAAGAGATGTAAGTGAATTCTATAAACAT